TTTTTTTTTCTTTTAATAGTCAGGCCCCTTTTCTGTAGGCCTGCTGTGGTTTGCTGAAGGTTTGCTTCATGCCATAGTCATCTGTTTTGCTTCCATGCCTGGAGATTAAAGAGGCTGGTGAACAGCAAATATGGAGGCCTGTTCCTTTTTCTGGATCTCTCAACTTGAGTGTCACTGACTTGATGCCCGTGCCAGTAGGAATGATCCTGTATAGGGTGTCTGACAACTCCTGTTGGGGCGGTCTCACCCCGTTGGGTGGCACAGGGAGCAGGACCCATTTAACAAAGTGATTTGGCTGTTCCTTAGTGGAAGATGTGTGTTGCACTGAGGGAAAATCCACTTTTCTGGGTTGCCTGGGTTCCTCAAAGCTAGTAGGAAGAAAGACTAAGTCTGTTGGTCCACAGAGATTACAGCCACCCCTCTCCCTAGGGGCTCAGGGCCAGGGAGGTCAGAGTTCTGCCCCTGAGCTCTGGGTTGAGTTGCTGGAGTTCCTGCAGGGAGGCCCTGCCTAGGGAGGTGGGATGTATCAGGGTCTGGCCTGAAGAGGCAATTTGGCTGCAGTCTGTCACAGCCACTGTGCTGGGCTGTGAGGATACCTCTTGAGTCCAGCCATCCAGCCTCCCTGGCTCCAGCAGGGGAAAAGCATGGCTTGGAGCTATAGTGATGGCTGCTGCCCTTCACCTTCAGGGAGCTTAGCGTGTTAGGTAGCTGGCAGCCACAGTATTGGCTGCCACCCCACCCCAAGGAGCTCAGATGGCTTAGACAGCAGGCAGCCACAGCAGTTGTGATAGCTGCCCCTCCCCTCAGGAACTCTGCAGACTCAGGCAGATTCTAGCTGAGTGGCTGTTGAGAATTTGCGTGGCTCTGTGGTTGGAGTCCAAGGCCCCAGTGGTGTGGGCTCATGAGTGGGATCTTCCAATCCATGGGTTGCACAGTTCCATGGAAAAAGGATGATGCCCCAGGCTTGGTAGCATGCTCATTCACTGCTTCCCTTGGCTGAGGATGAGGGCCCCCTTGCCCCATCTGGCTCTCAGGTGGGCCACTGTACCACACAGCTCTTCCTTCCTCTCTGTGGGTCATGCTAGCCACCTAGTCAGTTCTGATGATAGAACCTGGATACCTCAGTTGCTAATGCAGGATTCACATGCAGTTTTGGTTCTTTTCAATGGGAGCCTCTAACTGCTGATGCTTCTAGTTGGCCATCTTGGCTTCACTAATCCTTGCTATGTTTTTTTGGCTCAACTGATTTGACTATTTATTCTTTTGTGGTCCCACTCAAATTTCAGAATCGTTTTTTCTATTTCTGTAAAAAAAAAATGCTGTTGAAATTTGCACTAAATCTGTAGATCACTTTCTGTAGTATGAGCTTTTAAATAATATTAATTCTTCCAATCCATGAACATGAAATATTTTCCATTTACATATTCTTCAATTTCTTTCTTCAATGCTTTATAGATATCAGTA